TAGGAAAGTCAAGGGAGAGTGTTGTCGTCTGCTCCAATCATTTTCGAGACGGGAAGCCTTCAGTAAGCAATCCAATACCTACTCTTTTTTTGACTCCTTTTGAGCATTCAAATACTAAGTCACCCAAAAGGCGGCGATTATCAACATCGGTTGATAATAGTGATATCATCACTGCAAGTGACGAATTGATGAAAAGTGGAGACGATTCCCCAGGGTTAAAACTGTGTACAGCCTCTGCACAAATAACCAGAGATGCTGATGTTCGACTCTATACTGGCATGCAAAATACAGATGCTTTCAGAACCTTATTTGAGTACTTACTCCCACCATAAATCCTAAAATTTAAAACTACACAATATCGATGGCTAAAAAACATATTCTAATTTCTCAACCGAAAGAAGTGCTTTTTAAAATGCCATTCTCGCACCATGGCGGCCACGAGGTCACCTTCAAACAACATATCAATCTGCCCATAAAACGCAGTGATAAAAAGGTACTTCGCCAAAAATTCGGCACTTACTTTTAGTAACGCCTTATCTATGTTCCCACTAGATTTGGAGACGAAAATAAGCGATTTTCCCTTTATAAAGTTACGATATTGAGCGAAGGTACCGACGCGCGTCGAATAATTACAAAAGAATATATTGCTTGTTGCTACGCAACGAGGTTTTGTTTGACCCCCAAACAATATGGCCGTAAAAACCGTGGAAGGGTCTATTAGTTTCTTAAGTAAACCACTGAAAACTTTCACTTTCGCATAAGCATTGGAACCTTAACGGCGATTAGTGAATGTCTAAACGGTCGTGACTTTCTGAGTAAGGACTGGACCCATTATTATATTTCAAATCCTTTAAAAAAATAATAGATTCTTGTCCTCACTTCGAAACCTGCTTTTGGAGTATCTATTTAAGTCACAACCATGTCCAAACGCGGGCATCCTCCGGATTCCTTGACTTGTTCCCTCCCATGATCCCAGTCATCTTCAAAATGGGTGCAACCCCCCGAAAGGTTCGAAAGGTTAGAAGGAAGTAGTGTGATGAGTCCTGGTACTCGTCTTGCTCCTTCCCGTCATTCCTTTGTACCCCACTTCAGCTCTGTGCATATTTTTGGAAACGACTGAAGACGAGTCAAGCAACTAACACTGTTGTTGCAGTATTGCTCCACCGTCACTGTCCGAAGTAGTTTTGTGATCGCCACAGCCCTATTTCGTAAAAGAAACGTTAACACGGCGACGGCCCATTGTTTTAATAGTTTGACATAAAACGAAGAAATCTGCTTTTAGAATCGCTAAGTCTTAACAGTCTCCATAACTCCTATACGAAATGAATTTGTCCGATCAAGCCGAGTCTGAATCGCCTAAAACTGTGTCAGTGATAGTTCAGGATGGAAAGGAATTCAAGACGCACAGACATGTTCTTTCCGAGGCAAGTCACTTCTTTGAAAAACTCCTCACCAGCAACATGAAAGAAAATAACGAAGGAGTAATTCGATTGGAATACTTCACGGAGTCGCTGATGAAAGATGTTCTCGAGTTTATTCACACTGGAAATGTTTGCATTTCGACAGGTGGAAATGCCGCAGAGCTCATTGCAGCGGCAGATTACCTGTGTCTCTCCAAGCTCAAGTCGTTTGCTGGGAAATTCATCGAGCAGACCATGTCCTCTTCAAACTGCGTTTCGACTTACTTCATGGCTGAGAAATTCTATCATTCCGAGCTGTTGGACAGCGCGCGGAAGTTCATCTTATCAAATTTTGCCAGAGTCGCACAAACAAAAAATTTCCCTCGTTTACCGAGTCACGAAGTTGAACAATTAGTGTCCAGCGACGATGTCGTAATCAATTCAGAGGAAGACGTTTTTAAAGCAATTATAAAGTGGACTATTCACAAGAAAAGTGAAAGAAGCAAAGAATTCTGTAATCTCTTCCGTCACGTTCGCTTGACCCTTCTTTCGCGTGACTTTTTACTGAATGATGTCGTGACAAACGAAATTGTGACAGGAAGTGAAGAGTGTCTCGGTAGCGCGACTCACGCGTTAGCTTGGATGGATCGTGCAGCCTATGGTGACCTTTCAAGATCGTTTCCTCCGCGAAAGGCACTCGAGAAGTGTGTCATCGCAATTTGCAGAAAGCATGAGCCTTTAGAGAACCCTCTTTTTTACCTTCCCAAAAAGGGTGATATTTTTCGCTTGCAGGGTATGGCCAAAACTGACTGTGTACCTGAACATGTTTTCTCATGCCGGGGGAAACTATTTTTCATTTCCAAAGAAATTGATAAATCGCAATATTATGACCCAGATTTTAACTGCTGGCATGCAGCACCCTGGACAAAAACCGATTCAGAAATTAACTGGCTGCACTGGCGAGTAATGGGTAGACCAGTTCGTCGCAAAGTAGTAGTCGTTCAGAACGAAATTTGTTTCATTGAGGAAGATCTAGATGAAGTATCAAGCTGTCTCTGGAAATTCAACCTGGACACGAATTCCACGAGTTGCACGAAGGACTGGCTAGAAACAACAAGAATTTGTGCCGTAACAGTGGGCAAGTACATTTATGTTATAGGTGGGGCTAGAGACATAAATATTATCGCACAATGTTCAAAGTTTGACGCCGCGGAAAACAAATGGGAGAAGTTGGCGAATTTAAACATGGCGAGGTTTGATGCCCTTGGAGTTGGAACACAAGAAAAGATTTACGTCGCTGGAGGGTGGCTGGACTTCGACGAGTGTACCAACACGTGTGAAGTTTACTACGAGTTTACAGATGAATGGCACTCGATGGGTCGATTAACAGTTTTCCGGCCTTTTGGAAACATGGTGTTAATTGATAATTCTTTGTACGCGCTGGGTGGTGCTTTGCATGAGTTTTTCGGAAATGTATGGTCAATTGAGGGCTACGACCACGAAAAAGATGAGTGGATAGAAAAGGAACGTACCCTCTTTGTTGAAAATATTACGCAGTACAAAGCGTCTTCCTTTACATATTTGAAAAATGGGTCAATCAAGTTGAAACGTTACAAAGGTATCTTTCAATGAGAGGTCCTTCTGGTGTCTGAAACCCTAACGATAATACTCTCTTAGAGACTACCGTACTACGTAGTTACGTGCTTTATCAATAATCCGTTTTGCTCCCCTGTCAAGTTCTGTTCCAACAATGATCTTGACCCTTTACACCATAACATCAGTATGCATATTCTTCGTTCTGTTCTCTACACATTTCTATACAGTTCTGTTCCAACAATGATCTTGACCCTTTACACCATAACATCAGTATGCATATTCTTCATTCTGTTCTCTACACATTTCCTTAAGTGCTGACAGGGAGAACTTGTTTAAAAAGCAAGAGCTTCTTTATCTGGTGATCAATTCCTCTATTCCCGTTACCTTAATGTTTGATTCAGGGGTGATATTGTTGGGAGAAATTAAATGCTAGTCACTATTTGGAGCTAAAGGGTTAAGTGACCCTGGGGTAAATGCAACCTTTTGCCCTGGGCAAATTTCCTGCGGTACCTCAACCCCGTTTGAAGGCCAAACGTTTGACACTCTTTTGCTTTGTGTCTCCAACAAGAGACTCCATTATATCAGTACAGTGTCCATGGACAATATGAAGCTTGTTCGGTTAAAAATGGCTTTGAAATATCTTATCACACTCAACTTTTGTGCCAAGTTTCAGCCAAATCGGTTGACTACCACTTTTGGCTCCTGAAACACTTTCTCAAAAACAGGGACACTTAAAACCATTAACAAATAATTGAACACCTTATGACAGTAAACTAATTGATTAAAAATACGTTTTTCATTTATTAGACAAACTTTGTGTCTTTGCTTTAATTTATTGCTGAGAAACAAAAGAACATAAGCTCAATTCCTTTTAATGAGAGACAATAAAGTAATAATGTGTAGGTCTGATTGTTAATTCTCAACCTTAGCTGCTACACATTTTCTTGTAGATTAGTTACAAGAATTTGTTGTTCAATCAAGATAACAACTATCGGTAATATCTGATAAGTTTGAGTATTCTCATTACCTGTCTGTAAGATAATGTAGGAATATTATAAGGAGAAGTTATTAATCACTTCTGCGGGTTAATGGGTTAAATTATTTTCTTGCTTTGGTATTGATGTGTCTCTTAGGTGACCACCCCCTACATGAAAGGGTGATTGCTAAAGTGAGCTGACTGTATTTGCAATAACCATCTAGACCATAGGTAAACAGGTCACTGATTGTTTGAACAAGGAATAAAGTAAGTATTGTGACTGGTTTTTTAGTCTTCAATCTGATTGCTGAGAATGTGGCCCCAAGTTTAATGAACAATCAAAGAGCAAAAACAAAACTATCCAAGATTAATTTCATGATGAGAATTCAAGTGAGTCCTTAAAGTAGTGTTATTCTAGAAAGTTAAATATCAGAGCTTGCAATTATCAACTGCATCATCATTTGGGACAGCAGTAGAATAGAAGGTGATCAGGCAGGTCATTGTTGATTAACATAATTTTATACCCATATTTCAGTCTCAATAGAATGCTTCATTATCCCCAGAGTAATGAATAATTTCTCTATCCACTTGCAAGTTCAACAACAGTTGACTCATCGTAGGCTTGGGATCCAGTTGTATTTTTTCCAAAAGTCTCTCTGCAGCTTCCTGGCTTACTCTCCTCCACTTGTCTATCAAACATTTCAGCTCCTTGAGGTCATTCTACAAAATCAGGAACAACTTATAGTCACTCTCAAAAATCCAAAGACTGAGACACAGGCATCCCATCTGTGGTTACAGACAGAGAGCCCATCCTGCAAGATTTTAGCTGTGTAAATTTCTCAAGCTTAATTTTTCTTACATTTTTTCATAGTTATTTTTCCAGTGAGTGCCATTTTATTCTTTGCTTACCTTATTTCTACACATTTTGACAAGATTTAGTTTTCTCAAGGAGTCTTCTCTTTCTTGTATCATTTTGATTAAATCTTTTTTCTCAGTCAGAAGCTTGTGTAAGGCTGGCCCAGTTTCCTTAGGGCTTGGAATCTCATTGCGATCTTGACTGTTATTGTATCTACATCTTTTTGGTGTATCAAAATTTTCCTGTAATAGGAGAGAGAAATCAATATAAATATTACTCATATATGATTTTTCTACCATTGGTTTTAGGAAAGATACCACAAAATTTTCAAGGATTTTTTAGCAAGTGACTAAAACTGCAGATCTGAAAAACAGAAAATATCCTAACCAAAATAAGCCCAAATCAAGATTTTAACCCTCTACACCCAAACAGCAGTATGCATATACTCCATACTGTCCTCCAAACATTTCCTAAGGTGCTGACAATGAGGATTTGTTTAACCATAAAGAGCTTTCATTGGTGAATATTTTCTTCATTCTCATGACCTTAATTTGTGATTAAGAGGTATTATCTTAATGGGAAATTAGATGCTAATCACTCTTAAGAGTCCAAGGGTTAAGTCAGATTAATTCTGAATCTCTCAGTGTTACTGTAAATGATCAGTGAATTAGCCATATTTTACCTGATTACCAGAAGCAAAACAGCGCTCCATCACTGGAGAAACAAATGGTGATGACAGTCTTCGTAGCCCACATGATCTTTTACGAGATGTTGGCGTATACTGAGTGAAAATGAAAAGTTTCCATTACCAAATGTATGTGTTTATTTGTATATTCACATGTAAATAGTTGTCTCATAACACTCAAACTAAACACCACATTCTTGTGACTAATTTATACAGAAATGTGCAGCAGCTAGAGGAAAGAATGAATAGTCAGATCATGGGTGCTTCAGGGTTTAAGATACAAAAAGACTACTAATACAAAATATTTTTCAAATATACTACAAACATGACCAAAAGCATCATAAGAGCTGTAACCAGTTAACATTACCTTTTGATTAGCACATGAAGCACTCGGAGTGTTTCTTGTGTCTGGTGTTTGAAGCTGCAATGGTGTTGACCCTGTAGAAATATGGCAGTACATGTAATGAACTTTGAAACATGCCATAACTTACAGCTTTTTAGAAGCTGCAACAATGCAACAACTTCCAATATTAACTTTAAAAAAATCATAAAATTGTAATATTTGTATTAGTTGCAATTGAATGCTTATCATCAGGCTTGGAAAAAAAAACTATAAGAGATGGTTACATAGAGGTTTGATCTAACACCAAATTCTTGTAACTAATTAACAAGGAAAAGTTAAGCAGCCAGAGGTGAGAATTAACCATCTGATCTTGGGGGTTAAAGGGTTACATGCAATGGCAGTTTTGTCACAGGTCTACCTGCCATACCTAATTTAATGTCCCCGATTCGTAGGCCACTTGTGGCCAGCTAGAAGAGTTTGACACATTAATAAAGTTGATTTATTGATTGATTGATACCTAAACGGCCTCCTAAAGATAATCACAGTTTTCTTTGAGGTCTTGCCTTCTCTTTGTAAACCCCATACATATGTTGTAGTTAGTTTGAATTTCAGGTTAAGCTACTTTCCAACTACTAAGTCTGATCTGTACTTTCTTTCAGATCAAGGTGTTATATTCGAGAAAAAGAAAACTTAACAATAATAAAACATTGCACACAAATTCAGTTAGAGATCAAGCAAGAAATAACACCAGGTAAATGTACCGTTGTAATCTGCTGGTTACAAGTACCGTAAAGACGGTAGCCAATTACCTTGTTACCCCCACCGACGCAGAACGACAATTTCCTCAGAAACTTTCACCCCTTTATTCAAATGTACTCTTGTTTTACTTCGCCAATGTTTAAGAAAAAACACTCAGATATGAACAAAATTAATGTCTGGAAAAAGGAAATTGTGGTCCATACAGTGAGCAATTAAATGTTCTTTTCGGCCCGACTTCGGTGCAAGAGTCCAGCTGAAGAGACTGTTTCAAAACAAGAAAAGTCATAATAGTAGAGACTTGGAAACGTTTTCACATCGAGGTAAATCCTTTGTTTTAAATTGGACGAGTACCTTCAGAAGTATTTGAAATCCCCGCCACACCGTCCGCCATCTCCGCCATGTTAGTTACTCATCTTTGTTTTTTGAGATGGACAGGGCGCATGAGCGCAAGGCTTGTTAACTGGCCCAAAATCACGCGGGGTCATGGAACTTCCTGCTTGGCCGGAAGAATATAGGGAAAGGGAAAGAATAAGTGCAAGATCCAAAGAAGAACTTTCTTTTAAAATGTGAATTTGCGACGAAACTAATTTTTCACATGTTGTCAGACAAAGAGTTGGAAGGGTGCAGATCCATCTTGAACAAACTTCCCCAACGGGATTTGATAAATCTTACGGATACGGTGACGAACCGAGCAGTATCGCCAGAAAATACAACTGGTGAGGTTATACAAAGATTCTCTTTTGTATCCATATCTTATTGGACGTTTCGATGTGTAGTATCGCTGACTATTTGACGAGCTGTGCCGTATTTTGACGAGCCCGTAGGGCGAGCGAAATACAAACAACGATTAAAAAATACTAAGCAGTAAGTTACGCACCGAAACATCTGGTAAGTTATTTGTCATCCAACTGCTTTATTTTACATGCATTTCTTATAGGGTGCATTAAGTTATTTATTATCCAACTGCATTATTCTACTTGCTTTCCTTATAAGGTACAATAAAAAATAACCAATTGTCCAATATCGCGTAACATTTGAACTCGATTCATGCGTTATTTGTACTCTACTTAGCGCAGTCGGACAAAAAGTTAGGAATATTGTATTTCTAAAGAAACTTTGGTGCTTCGTCAGTGTGGGGTATTACAAGATAATTTGGTTTCATTAACTGAGTTGATGCTCTATATTGACCATCATTAAGAGTTTCTTGAGCTGGCGGTTTGATCAGAAGCCCTTTGTCAGATGCTCTATATTGACCACCATTAAGAGTTTCTTGAGCTGGGGGTTTGATAAGAAGCCCTTTGTCAGATGCTCTATATTGACCACCATTAAGAGTTTCTTGAGCTGGCGGTTTGATCAGAAACCCTTTGTCAGATGCTCAAAACGTCAACCCTAGGAACTACTTCACTGTGACAAGTGTTTTGAAACATTAAAAAAAAAATTATCTTCTTGTCAAGTTTCTATGTTTTACAACTCATCCGTGTTAATTGCTTTGTATGCTACAGTAGATTTACAACTCATACTCTGCACCTTATGAAAATACGTACAGTTATTTCTAGGTCAAGTTTTCCTTTATTTTTCGGTTTGGCTGGTAATGAGGAAAATACACAGTTGGGAAAGATTTCTTTATAACCCCATACTATTCTGAAACAAAGCTGTAATCCCTAAGGAAATCTGTTGTTTTGGCCATTTTTATCGCTTTCCAAGAACTTTATGCAGAATTAAGCTTGGGGCTGTGTGGAAATCTTGCTACCTTTTGAAACAGGATAACATTTAACCAGATCTTGAGCAGCACAGTACAAACCTCCCATAATTGTGTTGATCAAATCTTCCCTACAGAGGCGGTCAATGCCATACTTAGTTACAGCCATACTGCGTCACAGTTGCTGAAAAGGAAGAAAGTGAAGAGAGAACACATCTATCAGTACTTGGCAGAAAAAGGGATAATTGAACATTTGGCATCTGACAAGCCTACCTTGATAAAAAGGGCATTATTGTATTGGGGCTCCAGTGGAGAGGTGAGTTTCTGGGATTTCTTTTGAAAGCAAGTTTCAGTTGAGTGAGGTGATCTGTGTGAACTCACATGTCAGGGCTCGAAATTAATGGTTACCCGTTAACCAATGGTTAGTAATTTTCAACCTTTGGTTACTAAAAATGTGTCCAACTAACTCGACATGGTTAGTAAAATTTTCTAACATATTTAAACATTGGTAGACTTTGGGACAAAGAGCACGTAGACGAGACTCTCAGAGGAATACTTAAAATACTCAATTTGTTAAATCAACTTAAACTCTTTTAGAGAATGTGCTGTAGATGTACTGTTCTTGACTAATCATGGTAAACGAGAGGGAAATAAAATAAGTGCATAACAGGGCTAAAAATTAACTCCAGTGCTTGGTGGCCAGTTGGGTCAGTTAACTTGAATTCTTAGTCGCCCATCCCAAAAAGTAGCCCAGGATTTCCTTTTGTTTAAAATGAAACACTCGAATAAATGCCCTATGGCCTTTAACGGAGCGTTAACTAACAACACAAAAAGGAATTGCTCCCCCCACCTCCCAGTAATGCCATTCCAGCCATTCATGATAAGATGTGTTGGATGTTTTTGTTTTTTAAAGTAAATAAAGTAAACTGCAATAAAGTAACTTTAACAATTTATTTGCACTTGTTATNTAAAATTTCTAACATATTTAAACATTGGTAGACTTTGGGACAAAGAGCACGTAGACGCGACTCTCAGAGGAATACTTAAAATACTCAATTTGTTAAATCAACTTAAACTCTTTTAGAGAATGTGCTGTAGATGTACTGTTCTTGACTAATCATGGTAAACGAGAGGGAAATAAAATAAGTGCATAATTGTCAACGTTTTTAAGGTCACCATGCAATTTCAGCTACTCTTTAATTTGTCCTAGTCGTTACTATCAAAATGTTGAATATTTGAGATATCGTAACTTGTGAGCTTGGATACCAAACTTTATAATTTGGTCAGTAAAAAAGATGTCTACTAACCCGAAGGGTTAGTGCTCCAAAAATTAAATTCGAGCCCTGCATGTGCTTTGATTCCTAACCCCTTCACCAGCTTCATCCGTAGCCCTTGGACCCTTAGGAGTGACTAAAATTTCTCCAGATGATAGCACCTCTGAATCACACCACAAGGTCATGAGAATAAAGGAAATTGTCACCAACTAAAAGGGGGCTCCTGATTGTTAAACAGATTCTCCCTGTCAGCAAGTTAGGAAATGTACAGAGAACAGTATGGAGAATATGCATACTGATGTTAGGTTGTAAAGGGTTCATAACTGTAAAATGTTTGAACCCTCTATGGAGGAGAGGTGATGTCAGGGCTCAACAGCAATGCTGGTGGCCCACTAGCCACAGACTAATAGAAATTCAGTTTTGGCTGCTGGTTTTCAATTTCCACTAGCCAGTTTGGCTAGTAAACAGACTGAAATTGTCATAACATCTAAAAACATCTAAGATGTCACTAGCTACTTGGCTAGTAAGTTGAAAAGTTAGTGTCAAGCCCTGGATGTTCCGTAGCAAGGCACGATGTAGAGATGTCAAGGCTTCATGTGACTTCTCATGGTGTGTCTCTTGATATGCTCTTAAAATTCAGTAAGATGTTAAGGTAGGACCCAGTGTTGCAAGATAAAGCTTGTACCTATTCCTAGAACTGCAAAATGGAAGGAATTCCTGAGATGTGTGCTTGATCTCAAAGAACTTGAACATGTTTGTCGCAAATTTGTCTTTTTTTTTTTTACTCCTTAGGATAGTGAAGAGGAGAAAGAAAATGATTCTGAAAATCTGACAGCATTAGAGTCTAAATCAGAAATTCTGAGCAGTGTTACTAGGTGTACAAATCCACCATTTGATAACAGCATTAATGGACAGCAGTTAGCTGAGTATTTTATACCCTGGTTCTACAAAATCTTGAACTCTTTCAATACCCCTTGTGACAACTCATCACAGGAATGGGGTCCACAGCATTTTTGGGAAGATGCAAAAGGATCAGTCCTTGTAGTATCTGACAGACAAGTATTCGATGAGTGCCAAGGAGCAATGGCAGTCAGTGCAAAACTTCAAGAACTTGTTTGCAAAGAAAAAATACTCTTTAATGCAAATGTCACTGGAGCAAGGGGCCAAATAGATGCTTATGGACTCGTCAAAATTTCAGTTGGAGGCACAGTACATCGATTTTCCAACTGCCTTGGAATTTTTGAACAATCCTTTGGACTAGTTCGAGACCCACAGATGCAGAATAACTGGAAAATTAAATTTACTGAGCTAAAACTGAAAGCTCAGCAGCAACAAAATGAAGTGGAAGGTTACACCAAAAAGGCCATTACATAAAAAAGAAGGAGGATGTAATATCAGTCGACTATAGCGTTAATGTAAATGTGTAGGGCAATGATAATAGACTGTATTTCTATTTTAGCACTGACTATAGGGCTGTTTTCTGAAATAGCAAGTTTTCCCTTTTTTTGTTACAAGAACACCCCACTAAATATATAAATTACATCAATAAGTTTGTCTTTTACACTCTGTTAATTGAATGAAAAATCTTAAAACCTTTTACTCTCAAGATTTCATTAGTAAATCTCCTATCTGTCTGCTATGTAATTCTTATGATGTGAGTTTGGAGAATTTTTTGTTGGATCAACTAACAATCCCCTAATTGACATTTTTTGTTATTCCCATCATTTGTCTGCTTGATACTGATATCTTAGGAGAAATTCTGTCTTTGTTGCTGATAGGAGTCAGAGGATCCACAAAGAAAAATATTTGAACACTAGCTTCCTTTGATGCAACCATTTTCTGGGATATTTGTCCAAGTTTATTATTTGTTTGGAACCAAGGCTGTGAGTCTAGAGAAACAGATTACCGGTAAGTCCATGGACAAATTTTCCAAGCTATTTTTGCAACAAATGGAGAGTACTGTGTTTATTATCCTTCAAATATTTTCTGGAGCACATGCAGAAAATATCCGTAAGAAGTGAAAAGATATCTGTCACATTAAAATATCTAATTGGCATAAAAAATCTCATGATTTTGGAAAATACTCTTAGTTCTACTACTACAAATATGTTGCTGATTTACTGCATATCCTTTGCTTATTTCAATCCCATTGACATTTTGTTGGCACATTTTTTGTAAACAAAATTTTTTCAACCCCATGAAAAAACATCTCTTTTTGATAATGAGGAATTCACCAATGAATTTAGTCATGGTAAAGTGGTGTCTTTCTGTGTTGCCATCATGCTGTGGTACAATTTTTTGTTGTCATCTTCACTAGACACAAAAATAGTTTGTAAAGTTGAAATGCATTTAGTTGAGAAATGAATTTGTGTTTTTCTCTTAACTCAAAAACTGACAAGGTGTAGTAAACAAGTTGACGACCAACATGTTGACCGACACGTCGGACGTCGTGACACATCGGCTGACACTACATTCGGCCGGCTGACGGCCAACGGGTTGACCAAAGTATCGGCCGACGTATTGTTTGGATTGGAATCGTTTAACCTTTCCCCAAATTATCCGTTACCAAAAAAATGACAAACATTATTTCAAAGTAGATGACCCCAATAATTTGAAGCAGACAGACTAGAAACATCTATTTGATTTTGTTTATTTGCTTGTCTTTGCCTCTTGGCCTTATTGAGAAGGAAGGACATGATGAAAAGCTTGATGGGTAAAATTATGGTTCATTGTGTTGTTTTCTGTAAGCTTAAGTCAGGCGTGAACTTGGAAATGAATAGAAATTGAGACTGTACTTAGCTATGGTTTCTAAGCAGTTAGGCACTCATTTTACAATCGAGTGAGGACTGCGTGACCGTACCTGACAAAATATCGAAACTTCGGGAGGAGGATAATCACAAGAAATAAAGAAACAAAATGTTATTACCCAGCATCCGTGCCTTTTATAGTACTTTCAACTGAGGGTTTCAGTCTCAGCTGCGAGCTGTTATGATGCAAGAGGACAACGACACAACCAGCTTAGTCTGGGCTTATCCGGAAAAAAAATATGCATTACTCCGCCAACGATTACTGAATATGGCAAGGAAAATAAAAGTTAATTTTAGGTATCAATCGATCACGACTCAACTCCGATACAAAACCTAAAGAGAAATTTTAAAAGGCTTTCATAACAATTTGTCTTAGTTTCTATTTATTTTGCAAGCTGTGATTATGGATTTAGATAATTCTACGATTTTTTATGCACGTTTCAGAGAAGAAAATTTTAATTTTGACAAATCCATCTTGAAATTAACCCCAAACAGACATGGACTTTGATAGCTTTATAGCTAATCTGGTAGGTGTAACGATAGTAACGTGACTGCTACTATCCAAATATAATCACCCAACCTACAGCCAAATAAGTGGAAAACAAACCACTTCCTAATCATTTTCGTCGAGAGTTGTTTGTCAATCTGCGAGTTCCGGGAGGTCAGCCAATCAGAGAACATTCCATAAATAGGACCCAGTACGTATTTATACGATTCGATCAGCAACAATAATTTAGTGTCATGTTAGTCAGTACGATTTGCCGTGTTCAAAGAACAGGAAGGTAATTTCAGTGCAACATACATCCTCATTGTCAAAAACAAAGAATGCATCCTCCTAGCGCTACTTTTCTAGGTGGACTCCGCGTGTACAAGATTGTTCTTCTTGGAGAGGGCGGCGTAGGGAAATCAGGTGGGTTTGTACACCGGTTCACTGGAGGAATTCGCGAACAAACACTTGTAGAAGGAGCAGTGTTGATCGTTAAAAACAAATCGCATCCTAGATGAGTTTGCCGAGTGGATTGAAGTTTAGTATTGATCTGAAACTCCAGCTAAATTTATCTGCAAGAAATATTATTAGGGAAGAACAAAATCAGAAATAGTGGAAATTGAAAGCGAAAAGGCTGTCTGTTTGCTCTTACGCGCCTTTTAGCTTAGTTAATTATAAAATACTTGGAATACCTCAAAGCTATAACGTCTGTTTGTCTCAGGTAAACGCTGCCTGTTTTGCCATCTCGCATACATGTTATGTTGTCTAGTGAGCTTGGAATCTCAACTCGTTTGATCTGATCACATTTTTCCCGCTTGTGCAAACAACTCGCTCTGGTGAAATGTATACATGGCTGTGATCAATGGAACGAAACAAGTTATTACCTGCATGTTAAAATTGTTTTCAAGTTGATTTCACAAAAATTCGCTGTTTAAATAGACTTTTAATCAAAATATTTGTCAAGAAATTATTGTCATGGGGAAATTTTATGCAGCTCAGTAAAATCTGCCTCATCATCGGATGTGTTGAACGGAGTTGTTATTTTGACAGCGAAACAATATCATCGCCGTTGTTTTGTGACCCATAACGTAATTAACTTCACATCCCAAGATAAACAACCGTATCTCTAGTACTCTCTTTTATTACTTTGTTTTTCTGAATCGCGTGTTTTTGAATAACGAAATTTTCTTAAATACATATTTTAGGGTCTTGGTGAGTGGGAAATTTTAAAGCAGAGTCCGCCAAAGATTCTGAAACTTCAACTTGCTTTCATCAAACAGGCGCCCCTCTTTATCAATCGAAGTTGTTTTGATACAAGTTGTTTTGATGAAAGCTGCGAGATTAAATCGATAAAGCGCGAAAAATGCATGCAATGTTCAATTTAGTTAAGAGTGCACCTTGTCCACGAATGTTTACTCGGGTAGGAGCAATTAAAGCTAATTAGCGCCTCCAACTTCCTCAAAATTTTTATTTACTTCGTTGTTGAGACTGGTCCAAACCGTAGATGAAATCGGCTTTCAGGATGCATATTTATATCTGAGATATGAAATTATAATTTTTCTTTACCTTACAAACAAGATGTGCTAGTTCTTAATGTAAATATATATCACATCAGATGAAGTAACTGTTTTTGAAAAGTAACATTTTATATCATATCGTTTACAACTTCTGCATTTTGTTCAGGGTTCCGATTTAGAGGGACTTGGTTAACTGTACAGTAAACATGAAGCTGTTCTCTGTACTTTTGAAATTAAGCCCTAAAGACGTCAACTTAACCCATTTCCTACCACAAATCCCAAGAATTTGTTGTTATATATTAAGACTATATGCCCAAGTTAACGATTTTGTTCATTCTCAAGACTTGTCTGTTGTAATTTATCAGAAATTGTACTAGTTGGCCGTGCAACCAACTATCAAAAAAAAAATAGCAAGACCTTTAGGACTTCTGGGAAAAGAAAGAGCATGTACAAAATGATCAGTGAGAAAAGTGATAATTTAAAACAATTGTTGAAAAAAACTAGAAATACCAGGTCCATGTGCTCATTGTAAATTTTCTGCCTGAAAAAAAATTTAAAGGTCAGAAAACTACAAATACTAAATGAGATACAAAAAGAGCAAGATATATGAAGAAATAACCATAAAATGAATCTTTGGACAAGAAGATTACATGAGAGTGGTTTAAAGAAAGTCACTAGACTTTTTCTCTTTCCTGTAGGCATAGCCAAGAAAACATGAGCAGGTGGAGTTAATTTCCTATGCTATTTTCCTCTTTTTTATTTATTTTTTTTTATAATTCAATTTTCACAGAGTGAAGGGGCAGATCCTAATTTTTAATCTAGGGGAGAGCAGACAAATCATTTAGATCTATCCAGTTGCTCTTGTTACTAATAGTATTTTTTTGTATTTTATTTAGTACCCTTCTTTTAAAAATGGAAATACATGGATATTTACACTTCATTTATTTCATTTGGCAGCTCTAACCATGCAGTTTGTATCTCACTGTTATGTGGATTACCATGATCCTACTATTGGTGAGTAAACATTGCTAGGAACTAAAGGCTGGTTTTCACCGCCAACGGGGTTGGAGTCCTAGTTGTACTTAGAGTCGTAAGAGCACCTCTGACTTAGTAAAAATGGAAAATCTGAGTCATAAGTAAGCCAGTTTTTTACTGGATTTTAAGGGATGCAGTCAAAAGCAAGATCATTTTTTTTCCATACCACTGGCCTGATTTTCTCTGGATTGTAGCACTCAGCACTTATGATTGTGACTTTGACTTGAACTCCGTACTAAGTGAAAACCAGCCTTAAGCCTTATCCCCAAACCACAGAGATTATTTTGAGGGCACAATGCTGAAAAAATTATTAACTTTTATACATTTGCTTTGATTGTTACCATTTAGAAGACGCATATCAGCGTCAAGCTGTCATTGATGGGGAGTCTGGATTGTTGGATATCTTAGACACAGCTGGACAGGTAGATACAAACAACAAATGCTGAGATAGGTGAAAAAAAAAAAGGAACACGCTATGAATACTAGTTGTGTAAAGAAAACATTATCGTTCTTTGATTGTGGAAAAAATGAGACAGTTTTGAGTCAAAATTGGAGACCAAAATTTATCATAGAAAGTATTAGGTTGCAGCTCTAAAATGAGCCCCAGAATTTCTTTAAGAGGCAATTTTTTTTATGCCAGATCTATTGAGAGGTACATTTGGAACATTTTGAGCACCATTAGTTAAAAGAGCGAAGGTTCCCTCTAAGAATTGTTGGCAAACAGTGAGGGGATTACTAATGAGATCTTCAGAGTGAAAAAGTCAATTCATTCCCAAGATAAGGAAGTCATCAGAAGCTCAGCTTTTATAGAATAGCAGCAGTTATTAAACCTAAAACAAATTGTTAATTCTGAACAGGCTAGAGTTCACAGTAATTTGATTATCATGAATTTTTCCTAACACTGGTACCAGCAGTAGAATACAAAATTGTTTTTGTTCAACTTGCAGCAAGAGTTCACAGCCATGAGGGAGCAGTATATGCGTAGTGGTGAAGGATTTGTCATAATGTATTCCATAACAGACAGACAAAGCTTTCTTGAAGCAGCCCAGGCAAAGAGGCAAATTGAAAGAGTTCGAAGAGCAGAGGTAATACCAATGGTCTTGGTTGCAAACAAAATGGACTTAGAGAGCAAAAGAGAGGTGACTACTGAAGAGGGCCAAGAATTAGCAGCTCAGTTTGACTGTCCATTCTTTGAAACATCTGCAGCCTTAAGGCACTGTGTGGATGATGTTTTCCACACTTTGATAAGACAGATACGGACAAAGGAACGATTGGGTATGAAGTTAGCTCAAAAGGACAAGAAACTTCGTCACAGGGCAAGCACAATTGTACAGAATTTCTTCAGACGTCAGAAGAAAAGGGTGTAATTGTATCAGGACAAGAGGTTGTTGACTGAAAATAATATCGCATTTGTGTTTATAGAGTATTGTTATTTGTATTGAATAGGTTAAAATCATTAATTGTAAATTGCAAATGAGATTTTTTCCACATACTGTGGCCTTTTTGGAGATATAGTTATGAATTGTATTATGAAAAGTTAATGTTAAAAATTAGAGAAATTCTCATGGAATCTATTTGCCTTTCGAGGGTGTTTTAAGCATGGATATGATTTGTGAAAGTTCTATCAAACCAATGGTTGTCAATCTATCTTTGAAAATTTCAAAAGATTAGATTTCAATCTCTAGTAAACAAAAATTACAAAATTTCTGAGGCTCTAGGTCAGAATTATATCATAGTGGGACATTGGAAGTTCACACCCAGAAAACTTGTGAAAAAAAAAAGTTATGCGATACAAAAAAAATCCTCATCATTTTTATATGTTCCGTTTCAGAAACAAACAGAAACTGATCACAGGTCATGTATAATTGTCATAATTAAGTGACAACAGTAGCTGTAGTGGCTATGTAGCTAAGTTTTGACACTTTTTCTTGTAAATATCACTGTTAATATACTATCATTGCATGCTAATGATTAGATTAAATTGTAAATTTGCTCATTAAGTTGAACTAGGAGAGCCAAGCTAGGAGCAAAATATTTACACAAAGCAGAAATCGAGCAAAGGGGTAACTCAGAAATGGGCACCTTCAAAGGCCATGAAAGACTTTCAAAAAGTCAAGTGTAACTTAAGAATTTCATCAATTTTGTACCTCCCAGGATTAAATTATTTTTAAGATCCTGTCATTTCTGGAACCATTTGATCAGGCTAAGTGAAAAATGAGGTTCCCCAGCAAATTCTTTGCTCTTTGATCTTGCATTGTGACTGTAAGAGTTGAAGTAAGTCTCAAATTGCTTTAATGTACAATGCTCGCTGCTTTTGTCTAGAAATTCAGTCAGTCCATTTTTTAATTGCTCTTCAAAGTTAAACAATAATTGGCTACTTCTTTCCCTGTGTTTCTTATCATACAAGTCATTAGAGACCAGCAAAAAATGAACTCACATCTGGCAAACCGTTAGAGCAATAAGCATAGAAAGAGCATGCAGCACCAACTCAGTTTGGAAATTTCTATTGACTTGCATGATAGACCACACTAAGAGAGATGGAATATGTATACTCTACTTCAGTTTGAACAGGTGCAGTATACTTAATCAATCACCTCATTAGAAAATAATAACAGGTGCAAGAGAAGTTTTCTTCTTTTGACTGGGGCCCTTGATCCAATAAATCCTAAAGATGACCAGCATCAAATTTCTCCTTACAGAGTATGGAGAATAAGGTGTAAATGGTTAAATGAAAGAGAATAATTCCTTCAAATTGATGAGGTGATTATTTAACCTGTAACATTACAGTTATTTCCAAAATATTTTTGAGCAAGGCAGGGTAAGCAGGTTTATTTTTCTTCTAAGTAGGTAAGGATCATTTGCTAGAAATGAGAAATGTACAGTATTTTAATGATATTGTAATTTAAAAACTGTTGTATCATAGTGGTTGTAAGCTTTCTTTTTATCTGTATATGTTGCTAAATAGCTTTATTACTGATACATTAAACGCTGTGACCAATGATCTTGTCCAATGCGTTTATTTCAATTTTGAGTAAAGTTACAGTGTTCTTGGGTGGGTCCAGGGGCCCTTTCTCAAAAGTCCCAGTAACTTCATAAGCCCATGTTTTAAAATCAAAATTTAAAAATTTGAGCTGGTAGTCTTGTTTTATAAAATTAAAACTTCAAAAACCCCCATTTTGAATGAAAACAGAAAGGGTCCATTTTATTACCAGGACTTTGGAGAAATGAGCTTCTGAGCTGGGACCTTTCTTTGGTGCAATTTTTTAATATTTATTTGAATCCTTTGATTCTCAGAGGCAGCCATTATCTTAAATGAATTAAAATTCTAAGATTGTATCAACCAAACAGGTATTGATATAGAAAAAATGTAATTACAGATAGCTAACAAAGAGAATACTGGTTGTCGGCGAGGAGGGCAAAACGGTTGAAATAGGGTTTCATGATTGTAAGTGCTATGAGTACTGGATGAGGTTTCGACAGTGCGTCTTGCGACCAAAGGCACGTTGACTTAAAGTTCCTTTCCTACATAACTTTCGTTCCACTTGTTACCGGTTTCCCATACCTTAGAATTTGTTCCTTTTAGAGCATGTTGGCTTTTCTCAATTTTCTTCAAAGACCAAGCAAGTACCATTCCTCTTTTCACATCTAGATTCAGCTCTCGAGTTCAACAGGCAAATCTGTCGAAATCTGAGCACTTTTATCAGGATAAAGAGGATAAAAGTCTTTAAAAATCATGTATTGTTCCTTTTAGAGAACTAGCATTAGCCTTGTGCAAAATTTGTGGGAAAACCGTCAGATCTAGCGAGAAGCACCCGGTCGTCGGGATCAGGATGCACGCGATTTACCTCGTAGTTACCCTGAGGTCCCAATGGATCTCGGGGAACATCCAGGGGTCAAAGTTTAGCGCACGCTTAGTCCATATTTATGACGTCATAAGAGGGAAAGGAAAATCATATCTACTTTTCTAATTAATTCACTGTCGTGTATGTCAACGCCAAAACGATGTCTCACAAGCATATCACCAAGAAGACAAAATTTGTTCCCGTGAAGATCTGCCGAGCAACTTTGTGTTCACCTATCGACCACAAATGATGACAGAGGTTAGTTATTTATCTTTAAAAGTTTTAAAGATTTGTTTTTAAGTTTCAGACTGCTTCTTTGTTGTGAGATTGAGAGTTGAAGTAAAAAATCCTAGAGAGATTTACCCTGCTCCAATGAAGGTCTAACTGACGCACCAGACGTCCACTTTCCAAATTTCGCGATGCTGTCTTTGTACCTACTTTTGTCAAGTTCTAGTTAAACAATCAAACCGTTGGGCATACGCCAAGGGATCAATTTTGGCCGCCCGCGGGCCAATTTTCCACGCCAAATTTTCAAGCCACTGCCTCCCTGCTATAGGCGAAATAAATTTGAAACCCTCATAGATATCTGCAAAAGGAAACAAGAGTAGGGAAAATGAAACTCAAGACTTTCGAACACAAACTTTCATTTAAAAGAGTAAAGTAATCGTTTGTCTCGCGATACTTGGGATGTTGCTCGCGACGTTTCGACTGCTGAAGAAGACTTGAAGTTCATCCAAAGTTTCATCCGCGGTTTCATCTGGAGTTTCATTCGAAGTTCATCTGAAGTTTCCGCTTAAGAAACTAATAACCGCGTATCTTCCTTCCTTCCGTGCTTAGTGCCGTGCCTAATACACTCAGAAAAAAGCAAAATTGACACTTCCACTAAACGTCAAAGCGTTTTTAAAACAGCAGATTCAGCACAACACCATATAAAAATATACATTTATTTCACATAAAGGATCCAAGAAAACTTTAAAATTTTACTTCTTCGTAACAGAAGTAGTATCAATGTGATGATAGCTTCCATCCAATTCTCTATGTTATTGGGTGTTTGAAAAATTACTTTTTAGCAATTTGCTTGGTTTAATTTAAATGCTTTGTACATCCAATAACATAATAGTAATAGTACTAATATTATAATGCTAGAAACCAAAATAATAATTCATTATTTCATCTGCCTCTGCAAACAAGTTATATCACAATATGTTTCACTGAATTATTTTTAATTTGATTAAAATCTTTAGCTAATCGTAACAATATTACTATCTATATCCCTCTAAACCTTTTTCAGATGTGAGTATATTTATAGGGTAGTTGATGGCTATGAAAATATATGATTAAAATTGCAATTTTCTGCAACCAAAATTTTTTTGAGTGAAGTAGTACCTGTTAGGTTTTCACGTTAAATAAAGGCTTGAAAACTACAAAACTTTTGACAAAACTTTGTTGTACAAACTTAAGTGTCTCATCAAGAGAATATGGACAGGTTTCGTTCTGAAATGTAAAGAATACGGTGTTTAGAAATAAGACTTACGTTAACATGATCGATGAGGACGGGGCTAGAAACATTTGCTTTCAAAAAATAAAACCTTTCTGGACCGCAAAGATCGAATACAATTTTACTTTGCTGTCCAAATTTTTTTCAAATTAGTCAAAATGTTTCTCAAGTTTCTTGCTTTTTTAATTAAAATAGGTGTAATCTTCGTACTTTTTAAGAGCAGATCGCCTTACACACAAATATGTGTATTAGGTCTTTCTACCTTTCTTTTATAACTGTTAGAGTAAAGATTAATTAAATAATTGTGTATTTTCTAAACTAATAACAGTTCACGATTGAAATATAAAGCGATACTCATTTTCCATCGAATTTTAAAGTCTGTCATCTTCGTCTTCTATAAGAGACCGGTTGCATTCTTCATCAGTTTCATTGCCAGCATTAGGTTTTACACTAGTGTAGTATTTCAGCCTCCTTTTGGAGCGAAACTGAAGAATCCCAAATACGACAAGAAAAGCTACAATTGCTAGTGACACAACTGCAATGGCTATTGCCGATAAACCAGTCTTTCCTGGATCCTCGAGCACAAATTTTAGTGCACTATCATTTGGATACTGTACAGAGCGATTTTTGTCAATAGCTGATGATTTACATTGTCTTCCACATGGATGGCAAGATCTTGTTTGTTCCTCAACGGAATGATTGGGCGAACACTGCACAACACACATTCCACGCTCAAGGTAAAGCGGACTTTTACATAAGCGACAATTATCTGAAGAGGAACCATAACAAGAATGACAGACTGGATGACACGCTAGACACTGATGAATACCATACTGCTCCGTAAGAAATGATCCATCGGGACAGCTATTGACACAAGTAAAATTGTAGAATACTTTGCCCTGTGCGCAACTAAGACAGTTGAAGCTACCTGGGCCATTGCAGGATCTGCAATTTGGATGACACTTCTCACATTTTCCTTCTATAGAAAATTGTCCGTCAGGGCAGATTGAGCCGCACCTTCCTTTGTTTTCACTTTGAACTAAGTCTTTAGCACATGATAAGCAATTATCTGCACCAGCACCAGAACACGTCTCGCAGGTTGGGTGACATCTCTCACAGAAGCCTGTATCCCGATTTGGAAATGTTCCATGGGGGCATTCCTTTAGGCACGAAAAGCCGACAAGACTTGTATCGGGTTTGCTGCATGCGATGCAGTCATTTGATGTGGGTCCAATGCATCTTGAACAAGAAGCGTGACATTTTACACACTTCTGACGACTGTCATCCAATACCCAGCCATGTTTGGGACACTCTCTGATACAGTAGTGCTTAAAGAGCACAAATGGTGGCGTACATCTTGTGCAATTTCTGAGGCCATTCCCTGCAAAATAATTGGATTAAAGATAATCAACGTATTATGATAGATTGATTAACATTTACTCTTTAGAACTTCGACACATGTAGGAGCGATAACATTGTAATTCGAACCTGTGAGCCAAAGTGGTAACCTGAGTCTAAATGTGGACAAAATGGTCTACCGATGTTAGCATAGCCCCTCAATCTTTGAGAAATTTTCTAATGTTCTCTCATTTCGCATTGTAAGTATAATGGTTTACAAACATAACTGAATATTGCTGGATTAAATATTAGCACTTTCAATAGTTATCTTAATATGTGGACAGTTGTAAACCTTAGAAAAAAATCTACATGTAAACGTACCTCCTTCACAGGTTGAACAGTAGTAATCACATCGCTGGCAACTACTGACTTCTCTGTCAAAGTAATAGTCAGAAGGACAAGATGCTAAACATCTTGAGTACGCCATAACAGACGCGGGATGACACATTGTACATTGATCCACATTGGGTCCCGTGCAAGACTTGCATGATGAATGGCAGGATACACAACTCTTAGTTCCTGGCAAAAGATATGTTCCAATTGGGCAGATACTGACACATTTTCCAGCACTCAAAACCTCGTGCTCTTTGCACCGGACACAGTTGTTGGAAGATCTCACACATTCCTTGCACATGGCATCGCAAGGTTCACATGAGTTGGTTTTGCTACGATATTGGCCTGCTGGGCACTGTGTTCGACATGAATTAGCAACAAGCAATAAACCTGGCTCACAGGACAAACATTCAACTCCGTTTATACACTTGTTGCATCCAGGGGAGCATGGTTTACATCTTGTTGTATCCAGATCACCGAAATAACGATCTGGACACTCATAGGAACAATGTTTTGTTTGCAAATCCAGAAACTTTATATCACTGCAGCTGAGACAGTCTTTTTCACTTGGACCAGAGCATGCATGGCACAGAGGATGGCACTTCTGACAGCCGTTACTACTATTAAACCTGCCTCTCGGACAAAGAGGTTTGCATTCAGAGCCATCAAGCGACCAGTCAGCTGTAAAAAGAATAAAGTTTAGAAAGGCGTTATAATAAAAGAAGAGCTTCCCTGGTCCTAAAACGTTTTTAATCCAGTTTTATTTATTGTAACATCGTGACAATGAGTGGTTAATTAAGAAATGGAAATTGTGGAAAGGCATTTGAATAAAGAGTACACAGGCATAACATATAAATCCTGATTAGACAATTAGGGTAAACGCGTCCCCTTACAAACGGGATCAATCAATAGAACTGTTCCGAGGAGAATTGTCGGAAGAGAATCCTTTATTTTCCTATTTCTGCCATCGTTTTCATCATTTTTAAATCTCAAGACCCCCTTGAGCTCCACATAAAAACGAGAAAGTTCACAGACTAACACGAAGATTAGCATTGAAACAAAATACCTCTACAAGTCTGGCAGTCACTGGCAGACGGTCCACGGCATGTTTCACAATTTGTGTGGCACGATTCACAAGTATGAGTATTTTGGCTGTGGAACGTTCCATCTGGACATTTGGTGACACATGCGGATCCAGCCAAAACATTCGAAAGAGCGCAAGAGAAGCAGTGGTCGCTTTCCTCACCAAAGCATGTCTGACATGCTGGATTACAAGGGAAACAGCTGTGCAAAGAACAAGGTAGCGCGAATGATGATTCTTATGAAGCTGTACAAATAGTTACAAATTACTGTAAATCACAAGAATCAGCTTGCTCTGCAATACTTTTTCTATTACAAAAACCTTTTGAAAATTAAGCTTTTCCCCAACACATTACTTGTCAAGCCTAACCTGGAGTTCCTTGGGAAGGTTCCCTCAGGACAACGTATCAAGCACTGCGATTTGTACGAAACAAATCCTTCTGAACAAGACTGACACTCGAGGCCCGAGGAATGACTGCAAGAAGCACACCCAACCGGGCAATTTTCACAAATCCATGAGGTGACGTTTGGAAATGTGCCAGTTGGACATTGTTCAGCAGACAAACATTGATGCAGGTGAAGAAATTTGCCTTCTTGACAACTGGTGCATTTGGTGGGCGCTATAGCATCACAATGTTTACATGACGACAAACAAGGAACACAGGTGCCATTTGAGGATTTCCCATACTGACCTAAAATGACATCCATCAAATCAATCCATATCTTATGAACATCAAGTATTAAAGAATAATATTGGATCATGATTATGACAGGCTTGTCAAGACCGTACTACGTAACCTGACTGGTTGGTGGTTTCTCGGACATTTTTTGAAAACGATGACGGTAGAACTGCGGAAAACATCTGGTAGATTTTTCCTTCCTGTTTCTCTTACGGCTCTGCCATTCATAAACAGCGGAACCAATGGACAGATTAGGCTAAGCCTATTAAAAGTGAAATCAAAGTTGAGGTTGTCATCTGCAAGCTTACACACTACTATCAGTCAACGTACCCTCAGGACAACTTTCAACACATGTTCCAACTGGGGTTTCAGTCCTAAAGTGTCCCTTGCTACAAGACAGACAATCGGATGTTGAAGAACCTACACAACTGCTGCACGAAGCAAAACAGGGTTTACATTCGCGGCTTTCTTTATCCCCATAGAGTCCACTTGGGCAAGATGCCTTACACTCTCCCCCATGCAGGAAAAGTTGCTGCTGAGTTTCTTTAGTGCCACATTCTGTGCAGGAGCTCGCATCACCAGCATGACATTTACGACACGAGGGGTGACAAGTCTTACACTGTCCGTCGTCGGCTAAGTACTGTCCATCCACACATTTAGCTACACATTTGCTGAAATGATGCCTGTACTGTGATGTGCAGGAAGCACATGACGTTGCATTACCGGCACAAGTCAAACACGACTTGTCACACTTTCCGCACATCAAAATAGAATCATTGACATGTTTGTACCAGCCATCAGGGCAAAAGTTCACACAACTTCCATTGTTCAGAATAAGAGGTGGATGACAAGATAGACAGTTAGAAGAGTTAGGTCCATAACAAGTTGCGCAGGTTGGACTGCAAGGAGTACAAAGTTTTGCAGTCAGATCTCTGTACTCTGTCTTGGTGCAATCGGCAACACACTCCTACAAAAAAGAATAGTTGTACTGATAATGTCGTACCAAAGAGATTGCTACATCCTTTAATGTAATAGCATACAACATGAACTAAAAGTGTCTCTTGAACCAGACGCAATATCCAAGGGCATAAACTCGTGACTGTAAACTGCACAATAGTCTTACCATGGAGATCTTAAGCTTACATTCCTTAATTTTGGTGGTTCCCTTGGGGGCTACGATACGCTAAGAAACGTAAATGTGTACGCAGCTGTAAATGTGTGTGTTACTGAAAAGGTGCAGACTTTCACAGCATGATATTTTATCCCTTTTAGTTCAAAGGTGATATCAATATTCTTGACAGCTGTTGGTCCACTAAACCACATGAAACTAATTACATGAAGATCTTTCAATACGATGATAAATACAATAAATACAACAAAATTTTCCAACAGCAGTTACTCATTGTGATTTAGTCATTACCAACGAGTTACCCTTACATGGCTGGTACTACTTCTAAAGTGCTTGCACTCTTTGCATTGGTCTGCTCTTGGTCCAGTGCATCCATTTTGGCATTCCAAGTTGCAAGCAGGTACTGGTTCCTTTGTAGAATCACTAGGTTGCGGTGGTTCTGATGTTCCATAAGTAATCAAATACCAATTCTTGAGTGTACCACTATTTCGAGAAGCACCTGGAAAAAATAAACCACAAAAAACACTTACTTAATCGTGCCTTGTTATCCATCCTTTCTTCCTCTTCCCTCTTATGGTACCATGAAACTTTAGTGACACAAGGCCACAAACAGATTCGCATCCACTTCTGGTTGTGTGAGCGGTTTTCTTTCTAGTATCGTTATGGATTAGAATTATTTCGTTCTCAGTGACTAGCACACCCTTAAGAAAAGGCACAAGTCACGCAACACCATTTTAAAGGTCATTCTTCGTTGACAAATAATACATACATGAACCAGCACACAAGATTTATGAGAATATGAACATTTGAGTAAACAATTGTATTTTAAGGCAGTGAGCTTTCCTCACCATGGTTTTCAATCTCCAATGTCCAGGTTCCTTTTGGGTCTTCACCCCATGTGTGAGTTGACATGAATTCCCAATCTGTAAAGCCAGCACTAGAGTAGTCTTCCCTTCGCCGAGGCAATAAAACTGAAGCTGTACCACGAGGGGAAATCAGCTTAATGGTGAGGTCTCCACGTCGTGTAAAAGTCAAGGTTAAGACCACTTGGACATGTTCCAAGTACCGTACATAGCGGTCACCACCTGAACAAGCTGTTGCGTCAATAGTCACCTTTAAAGAGCCAGTTCCAGGAATAGGTCTGAAGGAAAAATGTAAAATAATGGGCGGTAAATTAAATGGAAAAAAGGACTCCTGATCCTTCATAATGTGTTTTCATTCATTCTGGTCCAACTATAGTAACTAGACTATGAGCAGTCCCTGTTCCTCAGCAATGTCTGTCACACAAGTAAAAGAAAGAGACTTAATTTAAAGATTAAGATTAACTTAGATTAATTTGGTTGAGACCAGAAAAAAATGGATCATGAAGAACCTTTTTAAAAATTTCTGAGCAATATCTGCAAGATCAAGGTCCTTACTGTGGTTGGCCATTTTGAGTTGCAGGTGTTGGGCATTATCAAAACTATCTTTCAGATAATTAAATGTTTTAATTCAAGGATCACCTCTGCTGTGCTTCAGGTATTTCACGGCAGATGTGCTGGGCTGGCACAGTTTTCCACTTCCTTGCAAGGTTGACGAGTGCTAAAGCATCAAGTAACCCATAACCAAACTTGTGGCTGACCTTCCTCCCAACTGCATTTACAACAAAGTCATCAGATTTTAACTTGGCATTGGATGATGTTCGAACAACAAGATGCTGCATATCCCTCCAACTCAGGTTACGACTGGATGAAAAGAAGAAGAGCGTGTTGAAACTAGGCATACCCTAAATGATGTGTCTAAAATTATCTTTAACTTAAACTCACACTAATGCTGTTATTGTGCAACACAGAAGCGAAAAATTTCATTCAGAAAGGTGCCCTGACCCATCACAACAGCATATCCATACAAACATCAATACCACAATCTAAATTTCCAAGCAGTTTACAGTTTACGTGTAGTTATCTGACACCTTTAACTACATGGCATTTTCCTGACATACAATAATATTGGATGGATGTTTCTAGTGTCCAAATCGTTATTATATGAGTTTCACAGTAACATTGAAAATGAAATAAGGGTTTATTACTTACTTAACTTCCATTGCCAGGGCTAATATTCCAGCTGCAAGAGGTGCTGAGGCAGATGTACCTGTATGTGAATCTGTACATCTTCCATGAAGGTCTGTTGTAACCTATAATCAAAAATGATGTTCAGACTTGACTACTTGAACTAAATGAAGATAAATTACAACATACTTTAATTTGAAAACAATGGTACTAGGGAGTCATAGTTGTCTTCCAATGGTTACTTAGCTTCGATAACTTTATACCATTTAGTAAAGGTAACATTGAATAATACAACGACTACTTTTAGATGATTCATAACAAATAAATGAGTGTATAGAAGAAGTGAAAAGTATCTAGTATACACAATGTACTTACAATTTTTCTCATATCATAGCTTCCACTGCTAAAAGTAGTGGCCAGAGTTGATGCACAGTACTCAGAATACCATGGAGATGTTCCATGTTCTGTTGCAGAGCTGATTGACAAAGTGTAAATACTATTTGTGTAGCCATCACAACTGCAACTGTCATGGCCTCTGCCCCCATTGCCAGAGGCCCACACAAAAATGGAACCTAATCCACTACGGCCCTGTAAGAAAATGAAACAAGCTAAATGTCATTCTTTTTTAAATTCATTTATTTATTTTATCTCATAGCTTTAGACCCTTCAATGTTTCCCCTTGATAAGAAGAACAGTGTATTTATCATAATCAACAGCTATAGTGCAAATTCTATAGAAAGGTCTTGTTCTACAACTTAGCCTTTCTCTGAATTATGGCCATGTCTTCAAAATATGCAGGAAATAATAGAAAACTAACATCACAAGAAGCCTTTCAAAAGCTTACTTTTTGAACACCATCAGCGAATGCCTTTTTTGCCAGTTTAGCTGGCCCATCAACAGTCCTCCCGTCATCATCTGGTCCCCAACTTGAACTGTACAAATCAATATGCTGAGGATTGAGACTCAGAGATGATGCCTCTACTGCATCTGTCACATCACCATCCAGCATACGTACACCTAAAAGCAACAGAAATATACATGTCAAAATTCCTGTAGTCTGAATTGATTCACCAAGAGTGTAATGAGTCCAGAGTTGTGAAGCCTTAGCATGTGGCAGAAAAAACTCAGATCTTGGAGTAATAAGTTCACTTTAGTGTGCCTAGTGGCTCACTTCAAAAGTAGCTTTCCTAGTATTTGCAAGTATCTGTTATCTGTAACTACAATTGGAGCTTTCCTAGAATCTGCTGCAGGAAAGTTACAACGATACTTGATGCAAGTCCATCACAGATAAACCTCCAGCATTTTGTCGACTCTCCCTTGCAATTTTCAGGTACCCATTTACACTCTTCAGGGCTTCTGAAATCTCGCGGAAAAAAAAAAGAAATTTCGCGGAATTTGAAGAGACAAATTCGCGGAGAAAACGGCCGATTTCGCGTGAATTTTCGGGGCAAATTTTTGTTGAAAAGCAAACATGAAAGCAAAAAAGAAAGATTTCTAAGAAACATATGGTTCTCTTTGGATAGCTCCGCAAACGATCTCTTGCAATTGTTTTCACGGCAGCGTGGGCGTCTTTCGGCTTACTTAAAAACTTTTCCATAAATTGTAAAGTTTGCAAGCCGCAGCATGCGGCAAGCAGTAGAGAGGCACCGAAAACTCAAATACAGAAAGGAATATGGCAAGTTTGATTCAAATCCTTCTGAAACAATGATATACAGTTGTGCAACTCGTGTGTTACTTGCCAAGAGAAAAACTGTAAGTGTCTGACAACGAAGTGTTTCTAACAGAGATAGCTTTAACAACGATACGCTCCAGAAATGCACCAATGGCAAAGCTTTTTACATTGCGGCCAGTGCCCAGGTTTTCGCAACATTAATATAAGAACGCCTGGAAACGCCTGGTAGTTACTCGCAACCTCGTTCCCAGGCTCTCTCCGCTTTCTAAATGGCGGGCGAAGAAGAGTGCTTGAGGTAAGACGAAATTTCAAGATAAATTTGCAAGTTTACGGTAAGTAAACAGCTCCAATAGCCGAAATAAGTTTCAAATACGTTGTGCCGACCTGTATTTGGTAGAATTTCTAGCGAATTTCGCGGTATTTCGCGTGTTTTTGTCAATTTCGCGGATTTACCTGAATTTGGCGGCTCCGCGACCGCGAGAAATTAGGGAACTTTTAGAGCATCACGTTTACGGCAAACGGCGAACTTGAGGAGGTCACGTGACCACCGTTTTGCCGTCACGTTTGCAGTTTGCCGTTTCAGTTTCGACGGGAAGAAGGCGCCCCAGCCGTAAGTGACTTACGGGAAGGTTTTTTGGCCCCTTAACGAAACCAACTTACGTTTGACACTTTTAGAAATAATTTTCTACCATTTGGATCCAAATGTGGTTTTTTTGTGATTAAAAAATTAATGTATTTTGCATGATCTAAATGGAAGAAAGCCGAGTGGTGAAAGAACTTGAAAACAAAATGGCGGCTCGAAGTTCCTAAACGTGTGCATGCAAAGAAGCACAGTTATGGAGTTCTGTATCAGTGTATGCCGTCTTCCATTTCTATAAAATGCCTTTTAGATAGCTAAACACTTGCCAAGAGGTGATGCTGGCGACCGAAGTGGCCCAGCGAAGGCCAAAATGTCCCGCTGATTAAAGGAAATTCCGAGGGTACTTTCCCCTATCTTTTCGGAAGACAAAAAACCCGTCGTGCTCTCAGGGCGAGCTTGTAGAGAAAGGATGAATGGCCTTATCTCAAAATACCTTGAGGAAGATAAAAAGGCTCTTAAAAGGTAGGCTTTTCCCGCCAAAAGACGTCAACGCCATGCTAAATTCAATTTTGGTGACGACGGCAAATGGGAAACCTCAAACCGCTAGCAGCCGTTTGCCGTTTGCAGAAAACGCGATGCTAAAGGTCCCTATTTCAGAAGCCCTGACTCTTGAGTGGAGCTGGGGATTGTCAATTCAAGAGGCCA